CTGCAGCTCGTGCGCGAGCTGCTGCGGCGAAGGCTGCGCTGGGGCCTGGCCGAGCCGCGACCCTCCCATCCCGTGGTTTGTGGTTTAGGGTTTAGGGTTTAGGGTGGGGCCTGGCCTTCCAGGTCTCCCGTGGGCCTTGTCAATCCGATCTGGCCTGCTCAAGATTGGACGACATGGGTGCACAAAATGCCCCCTCCTGACCGCAAGAGGGTGTCGCGGCCGTTCTCGAGCATAGCTTCTCCATCGGATCGGGGACCTTGGCTGTGATTTTTGTCCGGGCAATGTTAGCCAGCGTGGACCCCAAATCAGGTATCTAGCAAAATATGTTGTGCAATCTTTGCGGAGCAATGAATTGGTTGTACTCCAGGTGGTGCAATACAGGCAGTGCCATCCACGTGGTGCAAAATATGTGGTGCGATCTTTGATGTGCCATGTGCATTGTGCAGTTTACGTCGTGCAATACAGGTTGGGTGCTCTATGTGGTGCAAAGGATGTGGTGCAAAATAAGGGGTGCTACCTACGTGCGTTGTGCAATTTACGTGGTGCGGTATAGGTGGTTCGACCTATAATGTGAAATGTGTGCGGCGCGATCCGTGTGGTGCGTGGTGCAAAATATGTGGTGAATATGTTTGGTGCGATCTAGGTTGTGCAAATCTACACGGTGCAATATGCTTGGTTCAATTTGTGTGGTGCGGCGACAAAGCGGCGACGGGGAACACATGGCCGCCAGACCACCAGACAGGCCCACACGAATGGCGGCGAAGCGGCGGCGACGACGGCGAGCACGGAACCGCCACAGCGCCAAACAATCCCAGACGATGGGCGGCGACGACGCGGCGACGGGGCGGTCGGTGACGACGGGCACGGAACCGCCAGACCGCCAGGCAAACCCAGACGACACGCGGCGACGAGGCGGCGACGGCACGGCGACAGCAAACACAGAGTGGCCAGGCCGCCAGGCAGGCCCATTTGTTTTACAGAAGTGCGAGGCGATGCGATGATGACAAGATGCGATGCGACCCAGTTCCCCGAGTGCAGACATTGTGTGGGGACAAAAAAGAAACGCCCTCCACCCTTCATCTCACGCTCCGTGCCATCTCCCTCCTCCTCCTCCTCCTCCTCCTCCTCCTCGTCCTCGTCCTCCTCCTCCGCGTCCTCCTCTTTGTCTTCTTTTCGTCCTCCTCCTCCCTTTCCTCCTCCTCCTCCTCCCTTTCCTCCTCCTCCTCCTCAACCTCGCCATCCTCCTCCTCCTCCTCCTCCGCCCTCCTCCTCCTCCTCCTCCTCTTCCTCCTCCTCCCCCTCCTCCTCCTGTTCCCCAGGCGTCAGGACCATGGGCCCGAGTATTTCGGCGCCCGTTTAAGTCCCGACCCCAGCGCCACAGGCTGGCGCGACGCCATGGGAACGCCCTGGCTGGCCAAGCTCATCAGCGGCGGCATGTTGCTCACCTTCCTGAAGTCCCACGGCCCTCCGACCCGGAACACCCTGGTGGAGGCCGACCTGGGCGAGATCAACAGCCAGCTGAAGGAGCAGGCCAAGGCCAAGGGCGTTCAGGCCATCTTCCCGATGCAGGGCAACTTCGAGGACAAGCAGAAGGAGATCGGGAGCATCGTCAAACCGATCCTGGTGAAGGATGGCGCCTATCAGATCGACAAGGTGGTGCAGACCAGCTCCGAGGACATGCAGAAGAAGCTCGAGAGCATCGTCAACACGATCGTGATGAAGGCCGATGGCCAGGAACTGCTCCTGGTGAAGGGTGGTGGCAGCCAGATCGACAAGGCGGTGCAGACCAGCTCCGAGGACAAGCAGATGGAGTTCGAGAGCATCGTCAAACCGATCGTGACGAAGGACGGGGGCAAGGAGACCGAGACGGCGGTGCAGGCCAGCTCCGAGGACAAGCAGATGGAGTTCGAGAGCATCGTCAACCCGATCATGATGAAGATCGAGACGGCGATGCAGGCCATCTCCGTGGACAAGCAGATGGAGTTCGAGGGCATCGTCAAACCGATCGTGACTAAGGACGGGGGCAAGGAGATCGAGACGGCGGTGCAGGCCAGCTCCGAGGACCAGCAGAAGGAGTTCGAGAGCATCGTCAACCCGATCATGATGAAGATCGAGACGGCGATGCGGGTCAGCTCCGTGGACAAGCAGAAGGAGCTTGAGAGCATCGTCAACCCGACCCTGATGAAGGTAGGCGTGCAGTCCCACGTGCGCCCTCTTGTCCAAGAAACGAGGAAGCATAAAGAGGGCCCCCTGGAGGGTCGGCGGATCCTGAGCTCCCTTGTGCTCGCGCTCGAGATGTGAGAAACGATGGGGCATAAAGGGCCCCCTGGAGGGTCGGTGGATCCTCGTTTGCTGAATTGTGTGATCGTTTACGGTAGGGGTCTGCGTCCCTGCCGTAATCAGGCCAAAGGGCCCCGAGCAGGCCACCCAACGGGTGCCCGTCTATAGCGGACCCAACGCGGCACCGTCGGGGGACGGGGCAACCCCAAGTTTCTCTGGGCTTGTGCCATGGTGCGATGGCCCCAGTTCCCCAGACTATGTGGGCTGGGTGCACCTGGAGGCCATTACGGCCGAGGCTGTCGCAGAAGTGCTCGTGCCGCACCCAACGGTCGTCGACCTATGTGGAAGATCTGGAAGATCCTCCTCCTGTTCCCCCTTTTCTTGGCCTCATCTGGTTATTCCTCCTCTTCCTCCTCCTCCTCCTCCGCCTCTTCCTCCTGCTCCTGCTCCTGGTCGTGTTCCTCCTCCTCCTCCTCCTCCTGCCCCCTCCTTGCTCCTCCTGTTGTTCCTGCTGCTCCTGCTCCTCCTCCTCCTCCGCATCATCATTCTCCTCGTTCTCGTCCTCGTGCTCGTCGTCGTCGTCCTCCTCCTCCTCCTCCGTCTCCTTATCCTCCTCCTTTCCCCCTCTTCCTTTTCCTCCTCCTCCTCCTCCTCTGCCTCCTCCTCCCTCCTCCTCCTCCTCCAGCTCCAGCTCCTCCTCCTCCTCCTCCTCGTCCACCTCTTCCTTTTCCTCCTCCTCCATATCCTCCCCATCCTCCAACTCCCCTTCCTCCTGCCCTTCCTCCTCCTCCTCCTCTCTCCTCTGCCTCCCCTCCTCCTCCTCCTCCTCCTTCTCCTCTTCCTCCTCATACTCCTCCGCCTCTTCATTCTCCTCCTCCTCCTCCTCCTCCTCCTCCTCCTCCTCCTCCTCCTCCTCCTCCTCCCCGCCACCGCCGCCACCGAAAACCTTGGCGTCGCGATTTCTGCGACGGCTTGGGGCCCCAGAAATCTGGACCTCGTCCCTGGATCTTTTTGCTGTTCGACCCGGGACGCTTTTGAACGGCCCTGTGGCCCGGCGAGCGCCGCCGCAGGCCGAAAATCGAGTTGCTTCCACCCGCGGGCCCCGCATCCGAGGCAGGCGACTGAGGGGCACGAAAACTCAGGCAGACTGCCTTCAACGGTGAGACGCACGATCGCGCGCTCCCTCCGCCCCCCGCCCCCTTCCCCTCTGCCGTCAGGTGGCCTCCATGACGCGGCTCTTCGAGGCCCGGGCCGCGAGGCGGCAGCGGGCGCGCTAGGGGCGGGCAGCAGGCCCGCGCAAGTCCCACGACAGGGGAGGAATCGCGATCTGGAGGGCAGACAGCGTAGGAAAAGCTGCGCGCGCTGCGCAATGTGCGATGTGTCTCGCGCATCCATATGCTCTCCCACGCGGCAGCTGGTGGCCATCGCACCCAGCGGACTGCTCAGCCCTCCGCCTGCGCGCACATTTCACTCGGTGCCCGCGTTTGGTAGCCGGCAATCTTAGCCTGCAAGCCATCGTGGTGGTTGCCGAGCCTATCCATGCGTCTGATCGCAACATTGGCCAGCGTCTGACAGGGCGCACTGGCTCTTGACCTTGCGGAAAGATAGACTACCACCAAGCGCGCCATCGAATTCTCCCGATGATCTCAATCGAACCTCCAATCTTCACGCCCACGCCGACGAGTGGCGGACTGCAGATTCCTCGCCACGCTTCGTCACCCCTGTGAAGCAAGACACCTGCACCAGTCGCTGCTGTAATGGGCGGGCTAACATTCGGAATCAAAACAAATCGAAACCTCAAACTCGACCCGTCGATGCCCATGCACTCGCTAGAACAAGTGCGCCGCGCAATTTCTTCAACGAACAGCGGGCCCTCGGCGCGCAGCGCGACGACCATCGACGCCGTGCAGCGCTGATCTTCCCACTGAGGTTAAAAAGACGACCGCCCAAGAACCCGAACCCGATCGATCGGCGGCCCTGGGCCAGAATGCCGACGCCAGACAACCTGGACCTGAGCCGAGGGGCGCCTGCAGTCGGATTCCGGGAGGGGCCGCAAGACCCTTTGAATCAGGGGCGGCAAAGAGGGGGGCGTCCAAGAGGGGGGGGATGCAAATCAAGGCCGGCGGCATGCGCGCGGTCCGGGGGGGGGGGGGGCGGGGACGCATTGAAATGAGAAGAGGCGCCATGAGATCCGAGGAGATCTCATGGCCCACGCCATGATATCCATCCCCCCGGGTCATCACCCCCCTCTTTGCCGCCCCCGACTGGAGGAGAACTTGCAAACCGGGACGGTCGGGGCTGGGGCATCAGAGGCGTCGGGGCGCGGCCCCCCTGCCCCAGCTCGCCGCCAACAGGGGGAAAACAAACCTACCTCGCTTTTGACCACCCTCGCTTCCAAGAGATGCCAAGCGATGCCAAACTACGGCCAGCACTGGTCAGGCCGCTCGACGAGGAGGCACGTGGTATGACCTGGTTTTTCCTGGAAGCGAAAGCGGGGTAGGTAATCCACGCTCTGAGCCGAACTGCCCATGCACAAGAGTGCCCCAGTTGGCCACGTCACATGCCGGCGCAGCTGGGCGCTCGACTGCTTCGAACTTCCTGACCATGGGGCCGCTGGCCACGGATGGCACCCGGACGCGGGTGCCTCCTGGCTTCGCCCCCGGGGGCATCCTGGCCGCGGCTCGAGAAAACTGGCGGCGGCGCTCCCTGGAAACCAGCTTGGCCGGAGGGCCCCGCGTAGCCCCTGGACTGCAGGTGCCAGGGGGCCCCTCCTGCTGCGACAGCTGCCCCCGCTGCCATGCATGGACGGCTCGCGCAAGATTAGATGCTCGTTCTGGGGACCTTCCTGGAGCCACTCGCTCCACTCGTGCGTCGAAGCTGCGTAGAACCTGAGTCGAACCTGAGTCGAACATGAGTCGAACCTGAGTCGAGTCTGAGTCGAACCTGAGTCGAACCTGAGTCGAACTTGAGTCGAACCTGAGTCGAACAGATCCATTAGGTGGCCCCCAGAAAGGTCCCCAAAACGAGCATCGAAGCAAGATGCTTCTGGGCACACCGCGGGCCAACTGCGGCGGCGCGAGGCTCCTCGCCCCGGGGGCCTCCCAGTCACGAGACGACCCGGCGGCCCGCCCAACTCGGGCCGGCGTGTGCCCGCGAGCGCCGAAGCGGGCAGCTACCTGAGACCACGGCGCGGTGGACGCCGATCCCACAGCTCCGCCCCGTGCCACGTGAAATGCTAAACAGGGCTAGGATCGGGATAAATCGCTCCAGAGCGTTCCAGAGCGCTCTCAGAGCGTTCCGGAACGCTCTGGAGCGGCCGCGGCGCCCAATACATCCTCCAAACCCGCCGATTCTCAGAGATTTTGACTTATCCCGATCCGATTTTGTCCCGATCTTCGCGTCGTTTGAAATGCCCTTCCCATCCAGCTCTGCAAAGACCCGCCGCAGGCGCGCGCGCGGCCCGGAACAGTGGGGCGGCATCCCTCTCTCGCGCAGCAAAAGCTGGGTCCGCGACGCGCCTGGCGCCGGGCCCAAGTGCGGCCGAAACAGTGCTGCGAGCAGCGTCGACTCTGGTGGGCGCGCAGCCCGTCGCATGCGCGCCGTCGCTTAAGCTCGGCTGCAAACCAGCATGAGCCGCCTTCCTCGATGCAAGGCGCTCCTTCGCACCACGGCGCATCAAACCGACTCCGCGCAACCTCTTCCGTGCACCGGCGAGGCGCCGACGACGCGCGCGCGGCCCGAGACGCCGCCCGCGCGCGACATCGACCCCGAGATCGCGACCGCGCGGGGGAACTTCGAGAGATCCGGGGCAATCGCAACGTACCGCGCGCGAGCGTCGCGGTACGTCCACGGCGAGCTCAACTCTCCCCAGCTCCTCTTACATCGGGGATGGACAGACCCCCCTTTAGTAAAACGTGGTTTAGTGAGAACGACCTGAGGCCCAAACCTGGCGGGCGCAAGCCTGGAAAATAACGGCCACGGCGCCCTCTCGAGAACCGAAAACGGACAAGTCACTAATCGACGTGTCACTGTTGGGGGTTCTGTCCACCCCCGATTACAGCGCCGAAGAGATGTTTGAACCCAATTCCTCGAAGCGCAATCCCGGGGGGGGCGATGCGACGCGACAGGACGCTGTCGACCAGGGCGGCGGGCGCCGCAGCCCGGTGCAGAAGGACGCGCTGCATCCAGCGGCCGAACCGACGCATCAGCAGCACCGTTGCCAATCCGTCGCCTGGACGAGGGGGAGGAGGAGGAGGAGGAGGAGGAGGAGGAGGAGGAGGAGGAGGAGGAGGAGGAGGAGGAGGAGGAGGAGGAGGAATATGAGGAGGCAGAGTAGGAGGAGGAACACCGTTACCAACACATCAATAACACCGTTACCAATCTGCTCGACCGTCGGGGGGAGAGAAACAACGTTCCTCGGGCAACAAAGACACACGAGCGTGTTCCACTGCTCGCCAAGTGCCAGCTCGCAAGTGGCCTGCGTCCGCCGCGGGGGATCTACGATGCATCAAGTCAAAGCAGGCATGCGTTTCTCGAGCGTTTGCGAGTGGGCACTTTGCGAGCAGTGGCACGCGCTCGGTGAAAAAAACGTTCGGCAGGACAAGGGGTCATCTGCATCTTCACGTGCCAAGAAGGGCAGCCACTCGCCGCCGCAGCCACAGGCCGACCGTGGTGACCCACCAGCTCGGGCGCTCTCATCAGGTCCAGGAGGGTCACGTCAAAAACCCGAACTCCCTCAGCGGATCCCCCGACCTCGGCGGAAACGCGCTCGGGCCGGGCGCCTCGCTGCCAGGCTGCGGGGGGAGGACGGGTGCGAGGGCCCGCGCCGATCGGCAAAAGAGCGAATAAAAACACGATCACCTCCCCCTCTGGAGATCGTTGGCCTTTTCAAACTCCTCGGATATCCATTTCTATGTCTGACACACCTTTGCCGATGCATCCGCCATACTTCTCTGAGGCGGGACTTTCCGCCCTCCTTGTCATGCGTATCCGACACAATGCTGATCCAACAAAGTACGGCGGATCCAGAGTCAGGGCTGAGGAGGAGGGGGTCGATGCGCAAATGGACAATTGCGCAAGCGTCGCTGTCAGCCAAGAGAGTTGCACATTCGGATGCCCTCGACGCTGCGGCGCAACGGGCCGCCAGGAAAACAGGACACGCAGAGCCCCGAGCAGCAGGCGCCTGCCGGGTGAACGATGCTCGGTCCTCTCCCTCCCCCCACTTTGCGCACGACCTATGTGTAAATACCAATATATAGTTATACATTGATATGCACTTGTATGTACATATATATAGAGTGTATATATTCCTTTCTGAACTCCTGAACTCAATGCTTGTGTTGTGCCCCCCGCTGCGTCTCCGCTGGCACCTCGTCGATGCCTTGCCCCCCCCCCCCGGGCCCGCCCGCGCCCCTGCGACCCGCCCGGGCCCGGGCCTGGCCCTGGAGGGCCTGCGGCCTCCCGCGGCTGCCGCCGCCGGCGCGCGTCTGCCCGCACGGGGGGGGGGGGGGGGAGGGGAGGGAGGGGCAAGCAAAAGCAACATGGATGGAGGGAGGGAAAAGGGAAAGGGAAAGGGAGGGATGGGGATGGGGAGGGAGGGAAAGGGAGGGAGGGGCAAGCAAGCAATATGGGAGGGAAAAGGAGGGAGGGAAAGGGAAAGGGGAAGGGAAAGGGAAAGGGAAAGGGAGGGAGGGGGGGGGGAAGGGAGGGATGGGGGGGGAGGGCGTATGTTTCGGCGGTGGACAGAAACGGCCTGGGACCGAAGCCGACGGACCTGGACCCGCAAAAATAACGGCCGTGACGCCCTCTCGCGAACAGAAAACGGCCAATTCCCCATTCGACGTGTCAGTGTAGGAGGTCTATCAACCTCCGAATGTTGTTCCCATCGTAGTTAAGGACTGCATTGCAGAAATGCCTTCGAGCACCCAGACGAGCATCGAAACAGCGCCTGCCCGACACGCTGACGAGGTGTCGAACGAGTATCGCCTCCCCGGGCACGACGACTGAAAGCTCTTCAGCTTCGGTACTTCCCTGGTGCTCGAAACCCTGTCTGGTTCTCAAGGCCAAAGTAAGTTGGAACATCATAATGCTGAACACCGCAGTGCACGTGAACGGCGTCAAGAAACAGGTCGCACGCGAGATGGCATGGCTCGCGCGAGGCGCCGGCGCGGCCCACCACACTGCAAGCGAGGGCGCTCACGCGAGACACTGGCCATCGCTCGGACGTCCATTCCCTGTTTGTTGTGTTGGTTTCGTGCGTGTTTTTTTTTCCGCCAAACGATTAAGGATGCTCCTCGATGGTCCTCGCCGAAAGAAAAATGCACACGTCCGAGTGATGCCAAGGTCAAGAAACGGGTCGCACGCGAGATGGCTTGGCTCGCGCGGGGCACGCGGCGCGGCCCGCCACGCTGCCAGCGAGGGCGCGCCCGCGAGACCCTACGCGGGCAGCTCACGCGCGAGTGTCGGCGCAGTCGGCCCCTCGTTCCCGCGTCGCTCCAGTTGGCACAGCGCCCCGCCCCGCCGTGGCCGAAGCACAGGGCCCTGCGACAGCGCCCTAGGTGCCTACCTACCAGACCACCCCAACCCAACCCGAAGACCCGAATTTCGGGTTGGGGGGGGTAAGGGTTCCACATGTGTTTTTTCGATGTTTCCCGACCCCCCCCCCACTGGAAATCGAGGGTAAATCTGAGCCTTCGGGTTGGGTTGGGGTGGTTTGGTGGGTGGTGACTAGGGGCCTCAAGATCAAGCTGTACGCCACCAGTCAACCCTCATGAGCCACTCTGCCGCTCTGTAGGTTTGCTCGTGAACGGCTTGCTGTGCCCGTCTTTGTAGGCCATCTTCCATGCCGCACGCAGCAGCGTATCAAGCCTGTCCACCTCATCTTCTGGGAGGGGGTTACTCAATGTACTTGGAACTGCACGGAATTGTATGGGGGTCGGCGCCAGGGGTAGATTTTGTGATATGAACGACCGCCCTCCACCTCGGACCGAACGGGGTCACACGCAGGACAACAGTCATCGTTGCCCACATACGTATAATCGCGCTTCGCACCACAGGTTAGGATGGCGCATCTTCTGAGACAGCAAGGCTTGATGGGGTGGCGAGCGGGGGGGGGAGAGAAGGAGGCACCCTCAACTACAAAAACACACACAAACCAACTCACACACAACTCTCTCTCTCTCTCTCTCTCCTTCAGACACACACACACACAACACACAACACATACACAACGCACTCGCACCCTCCTACGACCTCCTCATCTTCCTCATCCTCCCTCCCTCCCTCATCCACCTCCTCCCTCCTCCTCCCTCTTCGTGCTCCTCTTCCTTCTCCTCCTCTGCACATGCAAAATATGAATACTACTCTCCTCTCTCCCCTGAATATGTCCGGAAAGTGTTCGGCCCCCTTCCGCGTACTGTTTTTTTCCACATAGGAATGCCGGTAGTTTGTCAGGAACTAGGCAAAGGCTGGCAAACCCGTGGCTGCGAAAATGGAGCTCCGGGAAATTGATTTTTTCTATCGGAAAACACCCCGTTCACTATTTGGCGCAATGAGTTTTATTCCGGGAATGTGTTTTTTTCCTTCTGGCACACCGATTTAACAACCACGGATTTGCCAGCCCTCGCCCAGCTTCCGAGTTTGGTTTCGTTTGTGTTTTTGACAATCCGGTCCTTCAAATGTTGCTCCCGCCGCAACGCTGGCCCCAGTGGTGCGCCTCTGGCCGTTTCGAACCGTGCTACCGCTGCAGCGCGGGCGTTTCCCGTCCTTTCAAATAGGCCTAAATAAGAAAACGTGGCCCCCCGAACAAAACATCGGAAATGATGTGGTGACACATCCGGAGTCGGTTCGTTGATTCTTGGGGCCGCAGAACGCCCACCCCCCACTTTGGGGCGTCGTCGCGTTGAGGAAGTATCAGGCAGGAACCCGTGTTTGCTTTGAGAAGGCGATGTTGACAGCAGAATCAGCGGGTTCTCTCCAGCAACCCCGCCTCGTGGGGAATTGTCCGGGGAGCCCAGGGACATGCAGCGCGGTGTTGTGTTTTGCGCAGCTGTGCGATGCCATGCTTTGCGTTGCAATGACTTGTGATGCAATGCTTCACTATGCAATGCCACGCCATGCTATGACATGCTACGCTCTGCAGCGCTCTTCTACGCCATGCTACGCCGTGCTCTACCATGCATCGCGTACCCTCCTGGGAACATTGCCCTGCTCCACATCCGACTGTGCGAATAGAGAGGAGATTTACGCATGGTAAGGGATGAGAGGGAGGGGTACTACGTCAGATATGAGGCGAGCGCACCTAGCTGGTCCTCCTCCCCTTCCTCCAACACCTCCTCCACCTCCTCCTCCTCCTCCTCTTCCTCATCCTCCTCCTCCCTTCCCCAAACTCGTGGAGGGGGGGGGCCTGAAGATCCCTGCTCGCTTGGCGGCTGGACACGTGCACCCGCCCCGCAGGTACTCCGCCGCGTTCCCGGGGGGCCGCGGCCTGTTACAGGCGCGGCCAAGGGAGCGAGGCCTGCTGGTGGCTGCCCCTGCTACTGCTGCTCCCTTGCCGTTGTTTGCTCGTCACCTTCCTCGAACCCGTCCGACGAGGACGAGGACCTTCTCATCGTCCACATCCCCCTGGAGCCGCCTCGATGGCGGAGGGGCGGAGGGGCGCGTGCCGCTGCCCCCGCATATGCTTTCCCCGTGCACATCCCGTGAAAAAGGCCACGACGTTTTATGCTTCGCGTGTCGCGGCTGGGCGGGGGCCAGGGAAACGCTCGGTGCGCCGGAGCTCCGGGGCCAGGAAGTGGATTATGCGTCGCGTTGGGCCTTCTTGTCGTCCTCCTCCCTTTTACGCCTTTGACGCCCTGTGGGGAGGGGCGGCCCGTGGCCAACCCCACCCTGTCAGAAAGAGAAGTGCAACCAGAAGGCTCGAGACAGAGCGGTTCCTGTGGAGACGACTTCTCCCACCGCCCCGCCTCACATTAAATCGGATCTCTGCTCCTTCCCCCGCCCGCAACTCCTTCTCGCCCAAGGCGGATGGACCTGCCGCTTGATTTCCTGTTCCTGAATTCCCCTCCTGCTATTCTCTCTCGTGCGCACTTTCCCGCCCACCCGTCTCTTCACTCGTCCCGCCCTTCTCCTGTTTCAGGGGCTGCGCCAGCTACCCCTGGCAGGTGGGGAAGATCTGCACTCAGGGGGGGATACGGTCGAAGACGACGAGGGCGGAAATCGACGGTTTGGGATATATGGTCCAGGGCTTGGGGCCCCCCCCCCAATGCTAATGCCATCGGCCGCCCCCCCCCCCCGCGCGATGCCCCCCCCCCCCGCCCTGTGGGCGTGGCGTGGTGGCCCTCACCCTGTGGCCCTGTGGGGGTGGTGGCCCCCCTGTGGACGACAACGACGACGACGACGACGACGACGACGACGACGACGACGACGACGACGACGACGACGACGACGACGACGACGACGGCGGCGGCGGCGGCGGCGGCGGCGGCGACGACGACGACAGCGTCGTCGTCCTCTGCTTCCGGAGAGTGGCGGATATATGGGGAGAGGAAGTGGGAGGGGGGAGCAAGGTAGGGAAGAGAAGGCCAGGGAACGAGGAGGGGGGAAGTGGAGGCGGACGGAGGGAGGAGGAGAAGGAGGAGGAGCATCGTCGTCGACGGTGTCTTCCCCGTCGTGGCCTTCCTCTGGGTGTGGCGTGGTGCTGCAGTGCTTCAGGGAGCCGAAGCGGGCGTCTTCGTCGTCGCCGCCGCCGCCGCCGCCGCCGCCCGTCGTCGTCGTCGTCGTCGCCGTCGCCGTCGCGTCGTCGCGTCGTCGTCGTCGTCGTCGTCGTCGTCGTCGTCGTCGTCGTCGTCGTCGTCGTCGTCGTCGTCGTCGTCGTCGTCGTCGTCGTCGTCGTCGTCGTCGTCGTCGTCGTCGTCGTCGTCGTCGTCGTCGTCGTCGTCGTCGTCGTCGTCGTCGTCCCCCCCCCATCCCATAGGGGGGGGGGATCCCCGAGGAAACCTGGGACCATGCCATCTGGGGAGGGGGGGGCCCGTGGGCCCGGAGCCCGGGATCAGATATGCATACGGAATGACACCCCGGCATGCGAAAACGAATAATCTCAAACACTGTGTGGTCGTTGATGTCGTCCGCCTCGCCCGCGACCCGCACCGCGACCCACACCGCGACCCACACCCGCGACACACACCCGAGAACCACCCGCGACCCACGGGCGACCCGCCCCGTGCCCGAACCTCCCCACTCCTGTCCGCAACTGCGGGGTGCTGCGTGCCGATGGTTCGGGAGCGGCCAAGAGGGGGGTGTCCGAGAGGGGGGGGTGCAAATCATGACCGGCGGCATGTGCGCGGCCCAGCGAGGGGGCCAGGGACGTCATGAAATAAGAAGCGGCGCCATGAGATCTGGGGAAATATCATGGCCCACGCCATGATATCCCCCCCCCCCCTAGTCATCACCCCCCTCTTTTCCGCCCCCGAAACTGCGGGGTGCTGCGTGCTGATGGTGGCGGCCACCCCCCGGACCTCTCCCGGAGTGCATCCTGACCAGAAACCGGACGGAGCTCGGAACTCGGATGTCCTCGACAGTCTGCCAGGCGCGGCGCTGCCGCGGGGGTGTGCAGGACGCGTCCCCGCCTGCAGACCAAATCCTGACGAGAATGCCCAGGATAATACAGCCATGGCAGCGAGGGCTCTCCAAGACGAGCAGCGGCACCCGCCGGTCGGAAGAAGTAGGTCGGGACATGGTATACAAGGCGGATGAAGCAGATTGGGTTCGGGCCCGCCCAAAGCATAAACAACAAACACAACGACAGACATCGATCCTTGAATTGGGAAAGCGCTGGAAGTAAGCTGGGACCTGGGATATCCAAAGCACGACCTACTTTCACCAACCGCGCGTATTCCCGGCGTCATGATTTTTCTATAACGTCGACCCCCACAGGTCTGGACCCACTCCAGGGGACCCATCTTTCATCCATAATCGTGTTTCCACGGTCCCGACGCCCGGTAAGAGCCCCCTGATGCCGAAACCAGCAAAACACCTTTTGTCGCGATTCTTGCCATGACTCGCGGGAGTCTTGGTGTCGGCGTCTCCTTCTCCGAACGACGATCACGCAGCGGCGGACGGCGCATGGCCGATCGCCCGACGGACGGCACGACCGACACCCAGCCGCACGCGAGTCCGCTCGCCTCTTGCCCCGAGGCCCCCGACGTGCTCCTGGAAGCCGACGACAACCCGGCGAAGGCCAGCGCGTCCGCGCCGGCGGCGCCTGTGGGGGTTGCTGATTGGCGGGGCGATTAATGGTGGGGGGGGAAACAGGCACCCGTCGCACCCCTTCGGGGCCCCAGCAAACCCCTTCGGGACCCCTTTTTGGGCACAACAGGCGCACCTGTCTCCTCCCCCCCATTAGTCGCCCTCCCGCGGTTTGAAGTTTTTGACCGACGCGTATGAGATGACCGCCGTGAGATCCAAATCCAATTCGCGCAGATCCTATGTTTGTGGTGGTTTCGCGCGGATCCGATTCCGGATTTTCTGGATCCGCACACGGTCTTACTTTTTCCAGGTGGATCCGAATTCTATCCCTCTGTCATTCTATATTTTTGTATAATCGTTGCTTTAAACAGAAAACAAGAAAAACCGGTTCCGCAGACACTGGATACCGCCCGTGTTAACACTCAACAAAGAAAAAGAGGTTCGGTCATCAACTTCCAAAGATGGGCCGTGCGCTGCCTCGCGCACACCCATCGACTTTCCGCGAGCGCGGGCCCCACTCAATATGAATACATGTCTCTCCTCCCGGTTGCTGCACGCAGCTCGTCCAAACGCCGTCCGTTCGGCGGCGTTGATGTTATCTCGCAAGCTCCTCATAGTCACTATCACTTCAAGAAGAAAATCTCTCGCCCTGCCTAATTAAGCAAGGCCCGATCCTGCATCTCGGGGCACCACTCGGCCTTCTTGATGGGGAAACGTGGCCAGACATGCTCGCGCGTTGTCCATCATTAAAAAAAGAACACGACGGCCAATTCTAGAACAAAAATGCGGCCTCCCACGGCCCTCACCAGGCCGTGGGACCATCAATGAGCGACACGGAACGATACACCGGTCCTGGAGAAATCGTGGGCCCGTTCTGGGGGGCATATTGGGGGGCATGAGGATGCTCGCGTCGCTTGAAAATCACGGCGGGGAGGCTTTGCTTGCCGTTTTCGGCCCCAGGGCCGTCAACAAATTACTCGACGCGGAGATCCCTATATGTGCACTTGTGACAAGTCTCGCTGAAGAACTCTGTTTGTGAGTATCTGGATGTAAGAGCGAATCCGCGTGGACGACGGGCGCGTCAACGCGGACGGCGACTGCGAGGACTTCAGTAACGTCCTCCTCCTCTGGACATCTTCCAACAGAGAAAAGGGAAACCCAAGTGGAAGAACGAGGAAACTGTGGATCACAAAAGGAGAAAAAGCCCGGGTGTGGTTGGTGTCAGTGCCAATCGATGTCGATAGTTCACAAATAGTCAGTGCAAGTGTTTCTGAGAATGCGTATGTCTGGGTCTGAGAGAGTCTGAGTGACAGTGAGTCTGGGTGTGGGTTAGTCTGGGCGTGTGTGAGTCTGATTATAAATTTACTGAATACGAGTCTGAGTCTGAACGGGTCTGAGTACAAGTGAGTCTGGCGATGAGTGAACCTGAGCGTGGGTGGGTCTAGGTGTGAGCAATTCTGCGCGCGAGGACAATCAGAGTGTGAGCGAGTCTGATCTGAATATGGGTATGATAAGTATGAGTCTGAGCCTGAGTGGCTCTGAGTACGAGTGAGTCCGACTACAAGTGAGTCTGAGGGTGGGTGGGTCCCAGTGTGAGTGAATCTGGCTGTGCGTAAGTGTGAGTGTGAGTGATGTCTGGGTATGAGCATGATGAGTGAGAGTCTGAGTATGGGTCAGCCTGAGCATGACAGAGTTTGTGCATAGTGGGTCTGGAAGATCCTCGCAATCTGGGGCCCTTGAGGTGCTGAAGCCAGCGCCTTACTAGAGACATCCTCAAAAATCTGGTTTGAGAGGCAGACGGGTCTGCCCACCAAGACAGGCAAAGCGCCCGAGACATCCTCGCAAAGTGGATCTCATGGGATGCGAATGCCAGCGCCTGGACCGACACATCCCCCAAATCTGCTCCGAAAACGGAAGATGCTGAAGGCGAAAACAAAGATACCACTCGAGACATCCCCATAATCCGGGCGCGAACGGGCCCTTGAAATTCTTCCCTGGCGCCAACCCGCTCGAGACGTCGTCAAACACTTCTCCGACAGCAAAGGATGTTGCGAGCGCAAACAGGCAAGCCGCTAGAGACATCCCGCAAGCCGCTAGCCGCAAACAGGCAAGCCGCAATCTGGGCGCGAACGGGCCCGTGCAATACCCCCCTCGCGCCCCCCCTCGGGAGTGCTGAAACCAATGCCTCGCCTGAGACATCCTTACAATCTGTGTGCGTGAGATATGTTGGGCCACCATCAGTTCCGTCATCAACATCGTCACCATCGTCATCATCAGCATCACCATAATAAAAAGCAACCCCATCATCAGCATCACAATCATCACCACCATCATCATCATCATCATCAGACACATCATCATCACCACCATCATCATCACCATCACGACCATCATCATGATCACCATCACTGCCATTATCATCGCCATCATCATCAGCATCATCGTTATCATCATCATCATCAGCATCATCCTCATCATCAGCATCATCATCATCATCATCATCATCATCATCATCACCATGAGCATCATCAACACCATCACCATCACCATTGCCATCACATCAGCATCTGAATAGTCAGTTTGAGTGGCACTGATTAGGTGAGGAGGAGGACGAGGAGGAGGAGGAGTAGGAGGTCGGTGTGCGGGTCCTCGGCGAGGTGAAAATAATTAATCATTCGACGCGGAGGTCCCCATATGTATATCCATGTGCCTGGACCGTTTCCGTTTCGAGAGTCCGGGTACGAGAGAGTCTGTGCATGAGGGGGTCTGAGCAGCAGAGACTGAAATCGGGTGAGGCTGAGAGTGGGTGAGTCTGTGTGTGAGCGAGTCTGGGTGTGAGTGAGTCTGTGTATGAGTGTGAGTATGGCGAAGCTTATGGTAAGTGTGTCTGAGTGTGAGTGGTCTGAGTGTTAGATGTGTAATTCGGTCTGAGTGTGGGTGAGTGATCTGAGTGTGTGCTCTGAATGTGATTATGAGTTTGAGCGTTCTTGCTGTATCTGAGTGCGAGTGGTCTTACTGTGAGTGTGGATATGAATGTGTATGAGTGTGAGTCTCGGCTAAGCATATATAAGAATGACAGGTCTGAGTATGAGGAAGTCAGAGTGCGAGTGTGAGCGTGAGCGAGTCTGGGGATGATCGATTCGAGACGGAGCAGGCGGGAGGAAAAGAAGGGGATGAAATACGCAAGAACACACGGCTCCAGCTCACGGGCGATAGGTCCCACGTCATAAACACCACACAGAACATTCGAGCCCCAATCTGCAATAACATCCGCAGCACACCTGACATTCGAGCCCCGGAGATGGGGGCAAAATATAGGAGCATCCATAAAACACATAGGGTTCGAGCCTCAAGAGAGGGGCAATCGAAGGGGACATACGAAACCACACCTTGGATTCGAGCCTCATGAGAAGGCTACAGGCCGACTCGATTGGACAGGGCACGCGAGAGGACACAAGACCCTTCCGCGGGCCACATTGCCGCAGGAATGCAGAAAGCATGGGTCGAGAGGCACAGGACAAAAAAGGGTACCCTTGATTTGGCAGGGTCGACCTACTAATTAATCTGGGCCGACTGTGATCTACAGGAACACGCGTAAAATGCACAGGATTCGAGCCCCAAGAGAAGCAGACTGTAGGAACATGCGCACACCACACAGGATCCGAGCCCCAGGCGACCCCCTCGAGCCTCCGGGAGCCTCCGGGGGCCCCCGGGGGCCTCCTGGGGCCTCCTGGGGCCTCCAGGGGCCTCCTGGGGCCTCCTGGGGCCCCCTGGTGCCTCCTGTGGCCTCCTGAGACGTCCTGGTGACTCCTGGGCCTCCCGGATTTTTTTTTTTTGTTGTCCCTGGGCCTCCCGGAAATCTCCCGAGGCCCTCTGCGGTTTCCTGCAGCCTCCTGGGACCTCTTGCGGCTTCCTTGGGCCTTCCTGGGGCCCGGGGCCACCTGGAGCCTCCTGGGGGCCTCCTGGCTTCCTGGTG